TAAATCAAACATTTATTGATATACTTATTCATAATAATCCAATGATTCAATTAATGCCATCTGATTCTCCTCTACCACCAGCATCTTCACAAATCTTTCTTCGTCAAACATCATCATTGTCTTTTCCTGCTTATATACTTACATCAACAAATCAAAGTCAATTATTAAATCATTACTATCATTCATTTTTTGATGATCCTTCAACATTATCAATTGATATATCTTCATTAGAATATAATAGCACTACTAATTATAGTGAATGGATTAAGAACATTGTTGAACCATTTGCTCAAACATTAATCGAATCTTTTGTTGGTCCAGTAATAAAAAATGTGACTATTAATCAAGAAATTATAAATAATCTTGTTTATTGTATTTTGAAAAATATTAATTGTTCTCTTATTCATAATGTTACAAATCAAACGACTGGAAATGCATTTGATGCATTTAATAATACATCATTACTATTTTCAATTAATACTTATCCAACATCAACAACACCAACTTTTCCTTTTGTACAAAATATTCTTAGTTATTTTTTACGTGATCGTATGTATGATACATACAATTTAACTGAAACAGCATGTAAAGAACGTGCAAATAATGATAGTTTTCGGTCGTATACATACGTTGGTGGATATACACCATCAATAATGTCTGAACAATCATTTGATAGTTATTGTGTACGATCATATGTACGATCTATGTCATCAATTTCACCAGCATTTACTATTGATAATTATGATTTATCACAAACAACTTATCCAGCATGGACTGAAAGTCGATGGACAACAATTAGTTTACGACTTTTTGTTATTCCAACAAGAACACATGAAATCATTACACTTGTTATTGGTATATTACTCCTTTCGATTTCATTTATTGTCTGCCTTATATTACGTTGTTATACAAATATTAGTCTTTTGCAACCTTCATCATCGTAAAAGATGAGAAAAAGAAAATTCCAGTGTGTGACGTCAATGTACTGTTTTGTTTTTTTTTTCACCGTCCGATTCTTTTTCTTTTTTTACTAATCAGATTATATTATAATTCATTTTCTGTGTAATTATTACAATAAAATTCCAAACTATTGATATTTCCCATTATAAACAGTTTAAAGACTAGTACTGTAATGATTAAGTAAAGTTATTATGACGGATGATGAAGGGAAATAAATTTGAGACAATTTTGCTTGCTGTCATGAATATGATACTATGATTCCAAAAAATACTAATCAGTTGTTGTTCGGAAGATATGACTCTTGATGACTGATCAGTTTAAAGCAAAGCTGAGAATAACTGAATATCTCGTTTCATATGAATAAAATTTGTCAGTGTAATCTCTGCAGTATTAAAATGTGAAACATGCTGTAACTCTTGCTGCTAATCACAGAGAAATTATTGTTTTCTAACCAACAGTATCTGTCACAGTCCTTGATACGAAGGATGTGGCAAGTGTTGCTGAGGCACTTTTCACTCTCTGTAATGTGAAGATGGAATGTTGATAATGATGTCTGTCTGATCTGTGATATTCCGTTCGTAATTTTTTCTCTATATGCTTCAATACTTATTTTAGATTGTGTTTCACAATCATCTATTTCGGGATCAGTTTTCAAATAGTTCATATTTTCTAGAAAACACTGCCTTGACAAACAACCTAAGATATTTCTATTCATATTGTTTTTTGTAAGCAGTATCACTTAGCGCAATAACTCTAATTAATTTATGATGATCCTTCGATGATACCTAACATATTTAGAAATGCTCAGTGAATGTGTTTTTTTTCTCTATTGTCACATTTTCTTTTCGTATTACTTGATCTTTTGCGGGATTCTATCGTTAAGAAGCTTGTAGAAAAAAATTATTGGACAACACCGTACACGTTGCAAATAAAATAATAAGCATTATTTAACGAATTACATTGAAAATGACGAATTAATAATATGTAGGCTGCTGATTAAAGAGAGCAACATATTTCCTGATCTCGTTCAGTTTATATTGTAATACTTCAAAGTTCTATTCTGCAGCTATAATTGTCTTTGATACTCATAATGTTTTCAATTTTTAAAAAGAATTTAGTTTCCTGTACAACACATGCTTTTGTTGACACTTGTATCAATAGAATGGAGCTGCGTGATCATCTATTATCCACAGAAAAAAACAGATTAGCACGTAAATAAATAATCGACGTATGTTCGTGTTTTCTTTTATATAACTAGCCTAACGAAGTTCGTCTTTGATTGTATCATTAACAAGACAAAATGCATTAGAATGAATTATTGTACAACACTATTCATTGATTAAAAAAAGCAAAATAACTCTTCAATAATGACTTTCATACTACCTGTATTCTAATCTGAATACAATCATTCTCGATGTCTATGAAATCAGCAAACAAAATAGGATTGTTTTATGTGCTTCATTCAAATAAAATATTAATCATACATAAATCGTTCGAACCTTTTCAGACAATTCTAGAAATTATTTTTTTATCTAAAAATACATTGTTTTTTGTATTGTTCATGATGAAGAAGTAAGAATGATACTATTATAGCCTTTACTCTTTAATATTGAAGATTGGTTTTCTTTTTAGATAATTATGCATACAAAAAGTACTATTCTCATCTTCGATTGTATTCACAGTGTGATATTCACCCTGCATTATAACAATGTCTTCACTTCTCTGTTGCGTCTATTCGTTTTGTCATCCTCCAAAACTTTTACTTATTTTTTTTTCTCTTTGCTTTTATCGTAAACGCCAAAAACAAACAAAGAGAGAAGAATTTGATGGAATCCTCGAGTATATTGAATTGGAGGAAAAACTCTTACGACCAATTAACAACACATCTTTCGAACTATTATATGAAACACGGATGAGAAAAAGTGGTATATGTATATTTACTTCTATGGGTTTACTTTACCGTCATCTACGCCGTATGGTACTTATTTCTGTTTTGTGTGTAAGCAAAGAATCGTACAACTATGATAAAGATTGATAACACATTATTAATAAATTCATCGACATATAGAAAAATAAACTTCAATAGGCATTCATTATAATGAAATATACAATTCGAAAGCAAGTAACATTAATATCTCACAAAAATTTCTTCCTCTTTTGTGATATTACCTGATGAACTCGTCTATCGTATTCTGAACAATCTCAATATATTAACAATTGTATGTTCATTTTGTAATGTTTGTACACAACTAAAGATGGCTTCTGACGGATATCATCGATATCACGTAAATTTCATTTTCAAGACATCACTCAGTTCAACAAATGATTATTTTCGTTATTTTATTTGGTCGTTTTAAACTAGGAAAAACTCAAGGTTAATCTTTTTACTTAGACGAATATTACTCCAAAAAAAAGAATCAATGGTCTTATTCAAGTCTTTGCTCAGAATTTTATCGAGTTGCTTATTTTTTCTGCGACATTTCACTGAACAGAAAATAAAGTTAACATATACTTTTAAAATGCTTTACGTTACAAACAAACACAAATGATAACAAAGTGTGTCTGTCATTAGATATTAATATACTTTCAAGTTGCTTTGTTCGTTTAAAATTTGATCGAATAGTGGAATAAGCAAGAAAATAATTACAATGAAATAAAAATGCGATTGAATAACGTTTTTTTTTAGCATATAAATATCGAATGAGTCTTATACGAGTCATTAAATAAATCTCAGTATATTCAATACTCATACAAATGGTCTACAGATATTTGTTGTTATTGAAATAGTAGATCGAAAGAATGTCAATATGTATACATTGAATTCAAGTCAACAAGTACAAAAACATACTGGAATACCTATATCTATCTTACAGGTAATTATACAATATTCTAAGATAATATATTTTGTTCAACAGTCAAGATCATCTAACCAGGTTCATCAATAATAAAAGGAGCTAAAAAAAAGCAGATGCTAATTACTTAATCATTTATCATATGTTGCAAGAGTTCTCGAGAAAAAATAAAGTCTATCAATAATCTTTATTCATGAAGTTTCATCTAAAACCTCTAAATTTAATACTAATCTTCATCATATAATGTATCTTTTTTACTATAAAGAATCATTATAATACATATGTCAACGCAAACATCATTTTCTGCTCATTAATATAATACACTCAATTTTTATGTTATACGAACTAAAAGTAAATTTTCGAATCAATGATCTATTTTGAGAAAAATGTAGACATGACAAATAATTATTTATTTGAAATTAAAATGAATTGTTTGATAAATGATGCTCAATTGTTCAGTTAACGATCAAATGTCATGTGTATATTCGATCGATCCTTATTACATGCCTACGTGTTTTCCTGTTATTATGTGGATAGCGATCAATAAAATATTAATGTACTATCTAAAAAAATCATGTTTTTATTAAGCAAATAGCAATAAATAATATTCAAAATAAATTATGTAGATTTCTAATTTTTCTTATATATAAAGTTTCTGTAAACGTCTTTTGCGTGTCTTCAATGCATCTACTTCATCATCGAAGCTCAACTAATGCTCTATAGTCTTAGTTGTAAGTCGAGCGAAAGAAGGAAATACTGAAATATTCACTGATTCTCCTATGTTGATGGGCATCTACATTTATCTGCATAGCATCATTACTTTTCTTCATCTTGAATCGTATAGTATAATAAAAGAAAGTGTGACAAGTGTGACAGAATGCTTCATCTTTTTCTATTTTTAATACGAGCAAATAAAAGATCACGCACATATATGATAAACATACATTCTTAACTCTTGATTTATCTACAATCACACAACATTTTATTAGTCTTCTTTTTCTTTTTAATTCAACAACCAGCATATTTTATATTCAAACTTATATAGGAATATATCAGACAGGTTCTCATTACATTCTTTAATTTATTCATTGAGTTGATTCTATTAGAACAGTTTTTTTTTGAATAAAATATTCGACTGAAAAGAACAACTCTTGATTAAAATTAACAAACACTTTTATTTTTACAAAAATGGAAACGAACGCATCATCAAATGTACGCGGTAATGTTCATGCACTTCGAAATATGTGGATTTCAAAGGGACAAGAAGAGGAAAAACCAAAACAATCAACAGTAACTCCATCTTATCCACATTCGAAGCAGCAACAACAAAAACAAATCCTGAAAGATAACATACCAACTTTGAAAATTACAAAGGAGACAATTACTATTGCAAAAACAGAAAAAGAATCATCATTTACATTTAACAACGACAGTAAGATATTCGATTAGGATAAATGTTCTTTTGAAATCACTTTTTCAATTATTAAAAAATCAATTGAAATAATTAATTAAGTCTATTGAATGTATTTTTGTAGAAACAACGATTTCTGAATCGGTTGAAAAAGTACCATCGATGGAAGAAAAAATTTCTTTATCAATTCCTTCATCAAAGCATTCTATTGTTTTAAAACATCAAACTCAATCTAAGACAGATCTTGAACAATCTGCTATTAAAATGGCTATAGCTACTAACAAAAGACCCAATATTCTTTGTAAAAATCCGAAAACTAAGGGTATTCGCAATTGGCAAATAACTCGTCTTGTTTTTCGTAGCGGTTTTGCACTTAATAAAATGAGACGAGCATCGGATACTATTGTACCATTATTAATGAAAACATACAAAATTAAACATTGCTCTCGTGCAGATAGCACGGATAGTATATATAGTCAACCGGCATTTGAAACTTATCTTGATTATTTCACTCATAATACAGAATATCACAATCATGATGTACCTATACCACAAAGAATCAAACGTTCAGCATCGTATACAAGCTCTTGTATGCGTCGAAATAAACTCGATGAAACAATATCTCAATATGAAATGATACTTCGTCATTTAAAAAATTATGATGCGTTTGCGTCAACACATCCTTTACCATCATCATCGGGTTCATTAATTTCTTCGCAACATCAACAAAAATCATTTGACATTCAGCACATCAAAAAGAACAATGAAGAAAAAGAACAATTTCGTGATAAAATATTTAGTTCAAAACAACAAACACAATCATTATCAAGAAATGTTGGACGTACATTTTCTGAATTTATAATGAATGATCTTTTCTTATCACCATCATTGAAAAAATCATCTCATGAACAACAATCTTTAAGTATTTCTCATGCATCATCACAAACAGATTTGTCTGAACCAATTCATAACATTAATGATCAAACAAATAATTCTTCTGAAATAGTTCATAGCCTTGAATTGGGTCAAAACAATATCATAGCAGATGAAGAAGAAAGAGTAGTTATAAATCAATTTGATGCTACACTTAATAATAATGATCAAGAAACAGCAATAACACCTAATAGTCAAATCAATGTTATTGTCGCCAATTTACCTGATTTGTCAGAAAAAGAGAAAGTATAAGAAAAGAAGATAAAGATTTAATAAAGTCATCGAGTGATTTATTATTTTTTCTAGACAGTATCAACAGAAAAACCACTTATGCAACGTTTATTCGAAGGAAAAAAGACTGTCTATAGTCCAGATGATCTTAAAATGGAATCAATTCGATTACGTTAGCTGATAAAATAATATATGTATATATTATAAATTAAATTCTTTTTTTTTTCTAGCTGAGGAAATGATGGCAACATATGAGATTGCAAAAAACAAGTGTTTTTTTGACTCGGAAAAACTCATTGTAAGTATGTAGGAAATTTCAAGAAACCAATTCTTATTCTTTATATTTGAAGTATACAACAAAAATGACAAAAATTAGGCGTCGAGGATATACACAACATATTCGAATGCTTTGTATCACAACTGAACGATTATATAACATAACAAAAAAAAATCCATATCCTAAAGAAGGCATATTTTTTAATCAAATAATGGGTATTACATGTACACCATATAAAGATGGTTTTATTTGTATTCATACAAAAGAAACATATGAAGATCGAGTAAAAAACATTTTGTTTTAAAGAAAACTTTATATTAAAAAGTTTTCTGTTTCAAGGGTGATTGGCTTGTTGTTGTTGATCATCCATGTGAATTTATTACACAATTATTTATGACTATGAGACGCGATGATAATTCTGATGGTTTTCTGAAATTTGAAACACAGTAAAAAACAAACATTTTGTTTTTTTTTTTGTTAGGATATTGATTGTTGAATTATTTTTAGATTCACACATTGTCGTCGATTTTTTGGAGAAGGTAGAATAGAAATTCAATATTCATTATGAAATTTTTCTTTTTTTCGTTATTTTATCAAAGGTTCAAGTAACTGTTTTATAAAAGTTCAGAAAGCTGAAAGTTTTTCAATTAAAAAATTAGATTATGAGACGATGGCTATTGTAAGAACAATCAGATAAACTTTTTAATATTCGTCTTTTTCTCTCATTTTTATTTTAGTACACACCATAATCAAGGTTTTTTTCTTTCTTTAACATTTTTTTCCTCTGCTTGCTTTTGTTGCTGCGAATATTGTTTATGCATTTTCGCTAAATATTGCTTAATCTATTCATATTCAAGACAAAAAAATTTCTGAATAATGCAATAATTGCACATGTTGAAAAGAAGAGTGCAAGAAAGTTAGCCATGCGGATCGATCAAATGGCCTTGGTGTTCAGAACAAGAAATAACCCGATTTTTTTTTATCTTAAGTATCTCTCTCGTATCGTTTTCTTTTCTATCTTTCTCTTGCATCGTCGTAATAATGCATGTATTTTTTTGATGTTTGTTTTCGAATTAGAAAAGCTCGACAGTCATATGAATAAATAAATTCACCGATATGATGCCCTTGAATAGATAGGTAAAAATAGCGAATCATGTGCGTATTTATTATCAACCATTTGATCAACGCTCCTCTTTTATTAATACATTACAGCTTCGCACAACGAAAACACATACCAATTTTCACCTGTTTACATTTTGTCGTCATTATTCATATAGGCTTTTTTCAAAAAAATAAAAATAAAAGAACTATTTCGTTGTAAATCAACGTGACAAATACATTGAGTGACTGACTATTACGGTATATATTGTATAAGATACCAATGACTATTAAAGATCGATTTCTAAATGTTTTCAATTCAATCATACCAAGTACTTTTATTTCATAGTATTAGTACAGATTTTGTCGAATTTTTGTTTTTTTTTTAAGGTAGGAAAGGAAAAAATAAACAAAAAGATGCTAGTGATTTTGAAAATTTAAAAAAAGAAGTTACAATTGATGAACATAAAATAACATTAGAAGAGCTTGTTGAACGTTATGAAACAAATATTGAAGAAGGTCATTCATCTGCAAAAGCTCGAGATTTATTAGAAAAAAATGGTCCAAATGCATTAACGCCTCCACCTGAAGTACCTGAATGGATAAAATTTGCTAAACTACTTTTTGGTGGATTTTCTGCACTACTTTGGGTAAGTTAAAATAAAGAAAAAAAGCTCGTTGATAAATTAAAAAAATTAAATAGGTTGCTGCTATTCTTTGTTTAATTGCTTATGGAGCTCAAGTTGGCTCAGATCCAACAACACCAAAAGACAATTTATGGTTAGGTATTGCATTACTGGTAGTCGTTATTATTACAGCCATATTTGCTTATTATCAAGAATCAAAAGCGGGGAAAATTATGGAGTCATTTAAGAAAATGGTTTTTATATAGAAGTTTTTAAATATGTATATAAAAAACAAAGTTTTTCTATATGAATCTAGGTTCCACAACAAGCAGTTGTCATGCGTGATGGTCAGAAAATTGAAATATCTGCTCAAGAATTAGTTGTTGGTGATATTGTTTTTGTTAAGATTGGAGATAAAACACCAGCGGGTAAATATTAATAATTTTTAGTTTAAAAGAAAAAAACAATACATAAATTTATTTATCATAGATATTCGTGTATTATCTTCTCAAAGCTTCAAAGTTGATAATTCTTCTTTAACAGGTGAGAGTGAACCTCTAGCGCGATCACCTGATTGTACTCATGATAGTCCACTTGAAACAAAAAATCTTGCATTTTTTAGTACATTTGCTGTTGAAGGTACAACTTCTATCTTTGTCGTTTTTTTCTAATTTTCATATGTTGAAATCTTAAGGTTCATGTACTGGTATGGTTATTCGAACAGGTGATAATACTGTTATGGGACGAATTGCTGCATTAGGTAAAGTAGATTATTTTCTTTGCATAAAGACTTTTCTTGAATACTGTTCAGTGTGAATTGAAAAGATACGTTCTATAGAATTCTGTGGGACACACGTTTTTCGTGTTTCAAATAAAAACTACCGGCCGGACCTACTATCTGGCAGGCCATCAAGCAGTACTCCAGACTAGACTGAATTTTTAAATTATAGTCCAGTCTGATCCATCCACTTAGTGTATGAACTAGGCTAACAGGCTAGTCTATGTAAAAATTGTTGACCTGCGTGTGATGTAATATGATTTTTCTTAGTACTTATTCGAAACATAAGATGGCTTCACAAGCTCATGATTTTTTAAGCCCCCCCCCCCCTCCGAAAAGTCAATTTTGGTCAAATTTATCGATTTTATGATTTATAACTCATTAGATAGAGCAAAATGTCCACTCTCGAATGCACTATAGTTGATTGATTTTATCATGAGATTTAAGGATATTACACAGGTTTTTCTGAACCCCCATATTGAAAAAATAAGTTTTTTAAAAACTTATTTTTCGTTTTTCTCAAAATCAATTTTTTCGACCACACCGTTTACGCGGGCAAGGATTTCTTAATAACGACTCAATATAGAAGTGATAATTTTTTTTTATTGTATAGCAGGCAGCTAGGGCTAGATCCTCACGAGCTCCGATTTTTAAATTTCTCTTTTACTAAAATAAAAAACTTAGATATTTCATTTTTATTAGCGCTTTGAATTTGAACATTTTTCGAAAAAGTATTTTTCAAAATCAAAGAAAGAGAAATTTAAAAATCGGAGCTCGTGAGGATCTGGCCCTAAGGACACTCTACAAGTTAAATTCCACCCCGACATGATTAGCCAATATTCTTATATCGAAAACCTTGCCCGCATGGAGGGTACTTTTGACCAATAAATTGACTGTAACTCATTCGTTTCTTAAAGATTTGGGGAGATATTTTAACCACGGTCTCTCCTAGCCAAGACTAACATTCTCTGAAATTTTCGTTGAAATCGAATGAGAAATGACAAAAGTAGTTTCTGAGGGGGGGGGGGCCTTAAATATGTAGGTCATTCCTTTTCACACAGTCATCCACACTTACTTACATATCTATAGCTACAATCCTTCAAAGAAATGTCCATAAATCTGGTGCTACTTGTATAAAAAACATTTTTGATGATGTATCTCTTTGTTTTAATTCATTATTTCAAAGAACTTGAATTTATACCATCTTCGGGAAAATAAATTAAGTATATAACTGAAACTGGAATGATACATTATAATACGGTCATAAAACTAGATGAATTTAAAAAATCGAAAACATCTGTCGACTTGATTTGTCCTGTAGGCACGTGCCAGTCAGGCTAGAAAAAAGTGGTCTGTTGACAGCTCAGGTCCCAAGTTCCGCTTTATTTTCAAAATATCCTGGATCGAAAGTTTTTGGGATCCAATACTGTTCCATAGAACTCGAACTTTGTACTCGAACTAATGTTAATGTTGCGTAATTCTTGGTTGACTGTAAATATTAAACCTGTACTATGTAATGATCTTTAGCAGTCATACTTACGTAGTATCTTACAATGAGTGAAAGAACTTTCCGGGATTTTAGCTGGAAATAATGTACCATATTTCTTTAAAATAGATAACAGCTCATAGTGACTGCTCTATTGAACTAATAATAATAGGCTCTAGACTTTCAACTGAATTCTTTCCATGAAACCCTGCTGACTATCTATTGTAATTGAAAATACTTCAATTGAAAGAGAAAAATATTCAGAAAATCCTTTGAGATTCGATAACGAATACTATTCTAATCTCGAATAGTAGATATTATTCTGAGTAATCTTCTAGTATTCATTGGCTTGAAATCATTTCTTTGTGAAACAAAAATTTGATTTGATTTTTTTTTCTCTACGATAATATTCAATAGCAAGTGGTCTTGGCAATGAAATATCACCATTAAATGTTGAAATTAATCATTTCGTTCATATTGTCACAGTTGTTGCTGTTACTTTCGGTGTAATTTTTCTTATAATTCTTCTTGCTCTTGGTACCCGTGTTTTACAAGCCATAGTTTTTGTTATTGGTATTATTGTATCAAATGTACCTGAAGGTCTTTTAGCGACAATAACTGTCATGTTAGCATTAACAGCTCAACGTATGGCAAAAAAAAAATGCTTAGTTAAAAATTTAACAGCTGTTGAAGCACTTGGTAGTGTATCAACAATATGTTCAGATAAAACTGGTACATTAACACAAAATCGTATGACTGTTGCACATTTATGGCTTGATAGTGAAATTGTTAGTGTTAATTTATCACATACTCATGATGCTGAATTAGTTTTTGAAAAACCAGTACCTGATTCAGCAACGGGACAAGAGACAACACAAGTGGATTCTAATCGACCTGGTTACAAAGCACTTATAAGATGTGCAATGTTATGTGCTAAAGCTGTGTTTAAAGTAAAAATATTGATGATTTAATAGATTGATCAAATATCTTTTAATTTTTTAGCCTGATGAAGAAAATATGAGTAAACCACCTTTACAGCGACAAGTTCAAGGTGATGCTAGTGAAACAGCTATACTTCAATTTTCTGAAATTGTTGCTGGCAAAGTTGAAGAATATCGTGCAAAAAATAAACGTGTTTGTGATATTCCATTTAATAGTGCAAATAAATATCAAGTATCTATACATGAAACTGATGATGATGATGAACGACATTTAGTTGTGGTAGAAGAATTTGTTTTTTTTTTAAATTTTTTATTAGATCTTCTTCTTTTTCTTGTTAAGATGAAAGGTGCACCAGAACGAATACTTGAACGATGTCAAACAATTTTTATTAACAACAATGAACACAATTTAGATGATGAATGGAAACAAAAATTTAATGATGCTTATATGGCATTAGGTGGTTTAGGTGAACGTGTTCTTGGTTTTTGTGATTTACGTTTACCATTAGGAAATTTTCCAAGAGGATTTAATTTTGATCCAGATAATGTTAATTTTCCATTAAGAGGTTTAAGATTTTTGGGATTTATTACTATGATTGATCCACCACGGCCAGGTGTTGCTGATGCTGTTGCTAAATGTCGTACAGCTGGTGAGTTATTTTATAAATATAGTAGAAAAGAAAAAAAAAAATTTTTCTTTATCAATATTTAGGTATTAAAGTTATTATGGTTACTGGTGATCATCCAATTACAGCTAAAGCTATAGCGAAAGGTAAGCAACGATATTAAATGATCAAATGCAAATGAAATTTGTTTATATAGGTGTTGGAATTATAACGTCGGATACAGGTATAATATAAAATCTAATTTTAGGATTTCTTAAAAAATATTTTGCTTCTATTTATAGCTCAAGATTTAGCTAAACGTTTGAATATATCTCCTAATGATGTTGATCCAAGAGATGTACGTGCTATAGTTGTATCCGGTGCTGAATTATCAGAACTCTCATCTCATCAATTAGATGAAGTATTAACACTTCATCGTGAAATTGTATTTGCACGAACATCTCCTCAACAAAAATTGATTATTGTCGAAGGTTTATTATTGATTTCAAATACTTTTTTTTTCAAAGATAAATTGAATATTTTTATAAGGTTGTCAAAGACAAGGTTGGATTGTTGGTGTAACAGGTGACGGTGTCAATGATTCACCTGCTTTAAAGAAAGCTGACATTGGAATATCAATGGGTAAGATTCATTCACATGTTTTAGTATATCGTGAGTCTAGTTGTTTTGAATATCAATAGGAGACCGATAGCTATGACTTTCGCGACTCGTTTCCTTGAAAACCAGTTTTTTTAGAGAAAATTTTTTTTTCTCTAATACTTTTTGAATTTCGTTCAGAGTGTAGCATATGTTGAGTTGACTATGAAATGCTATTTTTTTCTTGCTTAGGAACCATTGTTGAGATCATTAGAAACATAATTCTTTCTTTTCTCTTTGGATTTTTACAGAAAAACAAATGAGTTTCAAATATAAATGTCACTCACACTTAGGATGAGTGTGTGAGCCTTATCTACCCACGCACATGTGCACTCAACCCGCTAGATTTTGTGAAAAAAAAACGATTAGAGAGTTAATGGCTTTCCCTCGTTAGTTCATCATTAGAAAACAACTGTTAGTTTTTAATCTGATAACTAAATTTATGTATTCTTACGAAAATTTTTTTATTTTCAAAATAGGTATAACTGGTTCTGATGTAAGCAAACAAGTTGCAGATATGATATTACTTGATGATAATTTTGCAACAATTGTTACTGGTATTGAAGAAGGTCGACTTATATTTGATAATTTAAAAAAAGTTATTGCTTATACATTTACTAAAAACTTAGTCGAATTATTACCATTTCTTGTTTATGTTGTTGCTGACGTTCCACTTGCATTAAGTACAATCACTATTTTATGTATTGATTTAGGTACTGATATAGTACCAAGTATTGCATATGCTTATGAAGGTGTTGAAGCTGATATTTTAGTGAGTTGAAATTTTTTTTGTTTTGTTTCTTCTTTGATTTAATTTGAAATATTTTGTTATTAGAAACGGCCACCACGTAAGAGAACAGATAAAATGGTAACAAGTCAAATGGTTACACTTTGTTATGGACAAATAGCAATGGTTGAAGCAAGTGGTGCTTTTTTTGCTTATCTTGTTGTAATGGCTGAAAATGGATTTTGGCCATCAAGACTTATTGGTTTACGTGAAGCTTGGGAATCAACATCAGTTAATGATCTTCGTGATAGTTATGGTCAAGAATGGACATATGAACAAAGGTAATATGTTGATAATATCTATTGTTGAATTTTCATTATTTTTTTTCTCTTGATTAGACATAATCTTGATTTAGCTGCACAAGCAGCTTATTTTATTGGTGTTGTTATTACACAATTTGCTAATTTATATGGTAATAAGACAAAACGTCGATCTGTATTTCAACAAGGATTATTTAGTAATCGATTTATGGTATTTGCCATTCTGTTTACTATTGCTCTTGCATGTTTTCTTCTTTATATTCCAACACTTAATCGAGCACTTAATCTTAATCCAAATCGTTTTCTTTGGTGGCTACCACCGATACCATTTTTCTTCTATTTATTTGCATTTAATGAAGCAAGAAAATTTTTTATTCGAAAATATCCTGATCGATTTGCAGCACGTCAACTTACATATTAATATTGTTTCATATTATTATGTTGAACATATCTTAAATACTTTTTGTAATCATTTTATTCGATCGAATTTTTTTATTAATAATTCATATACTTTGAAAAATTCTTATTTAATTATTGAAGGATTTAATCGGTTTCATTTTTTGTCAAGTAACAAAAACTGTAATAATAAATATTTTAGATGAAAACAATAGAAAATAGTTCTTTTTTGAATATTCATCTTGTTAATATGTAGGATGCATAAACATTAACGATTGAATCATATTGTATATTTTCTTTTTCATTAGAAGAACGGAAGAAGAGAAAAAAAAATGATAACTTAACAGATATGTTTGTCTTTTATTTTGCTAGAAATTATGTCAATAAACGATACAATGTGTGTCCTTTTATTGCAAACTTCATTTTATTTTACATATCTCAAGAGTTTCGCTAGATCGTGTGAAAATATGTGTTGTCAGGAAGTAACTCAATTCGAAAAAGTTTTACAAAAGATGAAAATAAAATTTAAACAATCTGCTTCTTGTATTGAATTGGATAAAAATATTTAATCAAGCGGCAATAACAGTAAGAGAAAACGCGAAAGATAGTGAGGTCAATATGTCAAATACAAGCAATTAAATTTAAAATAGCTTTTATTATAAATAATGTTCAAATAATAATAGGTATTAGAAGTAATAGATTAAAAAAACAAGTGTAGAAACTGTAACCTATGAAAATGATATTTATTTTTTTCAGCATTATTTTCTTGGAATATTTATGAACAGATCTGATTTCAACTGACGTGATGAAAAAAATCGATCAAGTTTTCCTGTTGAAATCGAGTATTTTCATAAACACAGATTTGTTAATGCTTTATCAAAATCTGTTAATAAGGAAGAAGCTGAATAAATCAATATTTTTCTTTTTGTAATGAAACACTGCTTTGACAAGAACATCAGAAAAACCTTAATGCATTTAATAATAATAATGAAAAAACACTACAAGAACTAATATATGAAGCACTATGCAACAGATACTATATAGACGTATGCATAGTCGATGTGATAATAAAGAAGTAGCTATGACGATTATTCAATTGCATGACAATTACTTTATTTTTTGAAGTATATATGTTTTGGGCGTGTAAACTTCCTTAAGAATTTAAATATGGTCAATTCTGATACATTGTTACTTTCGTTCGCGAATCCGTACAAGATCCAGCCTTCACATCAACAATATGCAACTTGTCAGAATAGTAATCATGGATTTCAATTTAGCAGTGTTAATGATTTATACATTGCATCAAACAATAATTAACACAAATCATCTTATACAAAAGGCTGTGGCATACAGAAGACATACAAAAGTCATCGTCAATTTCACTTCATTCATGACTTAATTGATACAGAATTTTATGAAGAATTCTTATCGTAAGACATTTCGAATCGAAAACTATGTTAATCCACTATGTATCCTATAGTTTATCTTTAATAAAAGTTTTAGTTCGAACAGTTGAAGTGTTACTGAATTATGATATAAATATGGCTTCAAATGAGCATGAAAATCATATGTTAAGTGTATCATTGATGCTCACTATTCTCTTAATATCTTGAGAAAGAAGCGAAACAGCATGAACTTTTGATTGATTTTAAAAGATCGAAGGAAAAACTGCAACAGTAAATGCTTTTTGATTGTATTTTGAGCACCATTCTATTAAATAAGGGAACTTGAGTTTCATTTAGATAGCATTTATTGCATTTTTGAATGTTATTTAACACATTTCAATAAAACACAGTAGAATTAAAATCAAAAGTGATACCATATTTTGAAATCAGGACAAATAATGACTCGACTGATCTATGTTTCAAATTTTTTAATCAACTTTGTTTTTTTCTTGAAAAAGAATTAAACAGTAGTGGATTTTACAGTCTCTACTTCGAACATTCAGAATCAATCAAAAACCGATTGTTATTGTTTATTTCGTTACTCAACACATATTTTGCCATGTGAAAATTTACAGAGCTCAATCTTCAATGTATGAGTGATCTGTTTATGTTAGAAAAATGAATGTCAACATTTGGAGTGAGAATAGATCAAGATCTTATAGAAATAATTTTAGTTATGAAACAATTTATTGTGAAAGCGCTGCATTATCCAAGTCATGAATGAAGGAAAACTAATGATGGTTGTTGTGCGCTCCTGTTCATTCTCTTGGACATAAATGTAGACACAACTAGATGAGATAAAAATACTTCCACTAAGAATTATTATTTCAGGACAACGAATATCAAAATTTCCAATTCCCTTGATTTGATCACTTGAACTCAAGATGTAAGGTATTGGAAAAGTTTTTTTTCTACAACTAAAGAATACCTATGATTGTTAAATAACTAAATCTAAAAACCTGAGACTTGTATAGTTTTGCAGATCTTTCATTAATGGTTCGAGCACATACCACCTGATAATTAAAAACTCACTATAGTCGTCTCATAAGGTAACTTGGTTTTTCAAAAAGATCGATTGAAAACCTTAAAAAAAGCCTGGTCGAAAAAACTTGTAATATACAATTCAATGCATCTTCATGCTTTCTTTCTAAATGAACTTTGTTACCAGTATCTTATACATAACGATGTATTCTAACCGTTAAAATATTTTATTTTAAATCTTTATGTCGATTATTTGCGACATCTATTATCGATTATAAAAAACCTCATTATAGTTGTAATTGGTCCTTCTCTGGGGCATCTCAATTTTGTGTTTTTCACATCAGCATCTTCTTCGACTTAATTGAATTCCCATTTGACGTCACACATCCTATGACGCGATCTGTGAATCAACTGATGTGTCATAGTTTTTTTTTCCATTTCAGATGAAATAAATTGTTTTACTTGAAGAACGCAAATTCTTCAAAAGACAAGATCGATTGATCCTTAGTTTTATTGAATGTTTTCAAGTTGTTATTATTATTGATTGGCTCAAACATTTTAGTATGGACGGTGAACAACCGTACAAAATTCAAAATGATTATCATCAACGAGCTGCTGGTTTCCTTCGTCAAGCACTTGAATTCGACGAACAATCACGTATATTATTATTTAGAGAATAATAGTTTCTATATGAATTTTATTTGATTTATTAGATAATAAAGAAATGGCTATACTATTATACAAACAAGGTATACGTGAATTAGAAAAAGCAGTAAATTTAAATGTTGATCCTAAAGGTGAGATATTCACACTGATTACTTTCTTATATATGTATATAATTAATAGATAATCGTGCTGTGGAATTGCATGCAAAAATGCGTAAAAATCTAGCTATGGCTCGTGAACGAGTGCATGCTTTACGTGAGTTTATCTTGTCTTTATTATCATAGGTTTTATCTATCGGGCTTTTTTTAAAGAGGATTTACTGCATAAAGAGAATGCAGCACCAGCAAAAGCTCAGGCTGTTCCAACAAAAGCTCGTCCTATTCCAACAAAAGCTCAACGTCCCACGCCTCCTCGTAAAGTTGCTTCACCACCTCCAGTATGTATTGAATTTTTTTTGTGTTGACTAACGTTGCTTGTGTTTCCAGTCTGCTTTACCTAAATTTTGCTATCGTGCTTTGTCACCTGCTATTGCTTCATCTTCTTCTTCGTCATCATCATCATCAAAACGTGTAGCACTTAAGCCAAAACAGGCACCTACACATGCAGTTAGTGTGAGAAAAAAAAATCCTTTGATTAATTTATTAACCAAATGTTCATTTGTGAAGGTGAAATGTATAAACTTGTGTTTAGGCTGAAAAAAAAGAACTACCATCAAAATCAAATGATGATGCAGCTGCTGCTCAAAACAAACAACCTTTACTCAAATTACCTAATGTTGAAAAACAACTTATTTCATATATTCTTGATGAAGTTATAGTAAATAAACCCAACGTTAAATTCACTGATATTGGTAAGTCATTTTATTATGTCATAAAGACTAGAATAGTCCAGTTTAATCTTTATTTACATGATGCTAATACATTCTATAAAACATTGTTACGATTATTTTTCATATAATACGGTATGACATTTTAGCTCCATTTAGTTCTCATAAACATATCCTATTCAACCGTTTCTCTGTAGAAAATTTGATTGAGGTTTGTAATTTGCAAAATGTACATGTCCTCTAGCCAATTATCCATATAAATTCATGATTATATAGATTTGTTTCTCATGGAAAATAATTTCTTGCAAAATTCATGTGTACAATTGTTAATTTCAAATCGTGATTTAAACAACATAAGAACTGTTTATTTTATTTTAAAATTATAATACAATAGCAGTTATACATAAATGGTAAATGGAGCTGTTGATATAGAAAATAATAGAGATCAATATAAGGAGTGTTTTATGTAAGAATTGATAATGTGGAGTAATAGAATGATGATATTAAATCTGTTTGCCGAAGACATGAAGAGAGAAATAAGTTAGTTGGTAGTCAAATGAAGATTAAGCATCATAATATCAACAATGCAAATAATAAATCTTTGTCAAAAAAAGACAAAAGAAAGAAAGATGATTAAGTGTGACAATAAAATTTTAATAACTCCATTCTTATGACATTGTTAAATACAAAGAAATTCTTTTAAACTTAACTTAAACCTTTATTAGTTTTATAAATGAGATAAGATCAATCAAAATGATAAGCATATTTTATTTCATTATTACATAAAACAATTAAAATTTTTTTTTTTTTGTATTTATATAGACGGTCAAGAAAGAGCCAAACGGGCACTTGAAGAAGCTGTTATTTTACCTGTTCTTCGGCCCGAAGTAAATTATCTTATTTAAATAAAAAGAACAATAATAAGCTATTTCATTCTCTTAGATGTTTACTGGTCTACGAGCACCCGTAAAAGGCATTCTATTGTTCGGACCCCCTGGTAACGGCAAAACAATGCTGGTAATTGAGAGTAAAGTGTTACATAATTAATTCATTTTGTCTTTTCAAAGGCAAAAGCTGTTGCTTCTGAAGCAAAAGCTCGTTTTTTCAATATCAGTGCATCTAGTTTAACATCAAAATATGTACGTAATAATTTTGTTTTTTTATTCTATGTATTGTTATATTGACTATTTAATCAGCTTGGTGAAGGTGAAAAACTTGTTCGAGCTTTATTTGCTGCTGCTCGTGAATTACAACCATCAATTATCTTTATTGGTTTGTTTATATTCTAATTCACAATCACGTCATTTATCATATCTGTTTTTTTTTCTCTCTATCTCTCTCGTAGATGAAGTTGATTCATTACTTAGCGAGCGTAAAGAATCTGAACATGATGCAATGCGTCGATTAAAAACGGAATTTCTTGTTCAATTTGATGGTGTAGGTTACAAAAGAAAATAATAAGAAGAATAAAATTAAAACAAAAAAGAACCTATGAATTAAATTTCTTTTTTAGGTTCAAACAAATAGTGATGATCGTATTCTTGTTCTTTCTGCAACAAACCGCCCATTTGAATTAGATGATGCAGCATTAAGGTAAAATCGTGAAACAAAATAATTTTTTTAATGTTTGTTCAATCTCTATTTGTTATCTTTTAGACGTTTTCCTTGTCGTATTTATATTCACTTGCCAGATTCAAGAACACGTCGACATCTTTTACAACATTTACTTAGTAAACAAGAACATAGTTTAACTGCTAGTGATTTCGAATGGATTGCTAGGTAAGATGTTGCTGTTGTTTTTTTGCTTTATTATAAATATTAAGAAAATTTCTTTAAGTGAAACACATAATTACTCTGGTAGTGATTTAACTGCATTAGCCAAAGATGCTGCAATGGGTCCCGTACGTGAATTACGTGTTGATGAATTAAAACAATTATCTGTTAGTCGTATTCGACCAGTATCACGACAAGATTTTGTTCAAGCATTAAGAAAAATTCGACCAAGTGTATCACCATCAACAATTGAAAAATATATTACATGGAATCGTACATTTGGTGATTGTAGTTCATAAAGTTATTTTTGTTTATCTATGGCTTTTATGTAATTATTGAGATTCTTTGTTTTTTTTTCGATCGTCTTTATTTTTTTTTTTTTTTGTTTTTATTTACATCTAGTCACGTATTTGATATGAAAGTTTACGTTCACTAAGCATATTTATAGAAAAAACGCAAAAAAAAAAAGAAATCACTATATGAATGAAGATTTTGTTTTGTTTCTCTATCAGTTATTTCCTTTTTTTTTTTTCTTTTCTGAGATTTATTATTCCTGATGAAACAGATAAATATTGTGTGATTTTTTTTATTTATGTAATATATTTGAGCATTGTAGTTTAGTTTGTGACGTTATATGACACAATGACAACGAGATCGAATGTAGTGCAATATGAATCTAATTTATCGACAAATTGCAGCAACACCGACCTAATCGCATTGGTTATTTCGTTTTCTTTTCTGTCAATAGATTGACGTGAAAGAAGGAAAGAAAGAAAAGAGAATTTTTCGTAATATTTAATTTTTTTTGAAAGAAAACGAAGACGATCGAGAAGAGGAGAGAAATCCAATATAAATGCATAAAAGAACGAGCAAAAAGACTAATTACATGTAGAATGATTACGAGCGATTGGCTATAGTGCAAACGCCCTTTTCTCGATTTCTTACGGAATCTATCAAGATATCTTTTTCTTTTCTTTTCTTTTTTTCTTTTTAATCTATCTGTTAATCTCGATAATGTTCAGTTAGTGCCAAATAAAAAAGTAGAGAATCTTCTTTACCTGTATATGAATGATGTGATGATTTACCCTTTTACACTACTCCGAAAAAAATACATATGGCACGCATCGAAACAGGACACGAAGGTATAGAATAAGAAAGACATAAGCGTACGCAAGTAAACTGGATTGTAACAGAGCAAAAAAGAGAGAGAGACAGAGCGCACAAAAGAGACAGCATAGAGCACTCACCATTCAAATCAAAAAATAAAAACGAAGAAAAGAAGAAAGAGAACGACAACGGCAGAAAGTAGCATACCTGTACACACCATCATCATCAGAGTAGAGACAAGAGCAGCAATTGAAATGAAGAAATATACATACGCGCACATTGTCGTAGCAACGATGATGACGACAATGACAATAACAACGTCATGCAAGGTCTTCAAGCAAAAATCTTTCTTGTCTACCATATAACAAAAGAAAAAAAAAGAACTTGTTTTCATCTTCCTTCTTTTTTTCGCTACTATACATAATACAAAGGAAAAAGGACGGATAAAAAAAATATCGACATATGAGTACACATATATATATATATATGTATATATGCGTGCATTTCTTACTCCATCTATATAAGCGTGCGTGTAAGTGCACAATTCTGTAGCTATCTCATGGTATTTATAATATACATGTTCTATTCCTTGTTGATGATCAAGGTACAGGAAATAGAGGAAACAAAAGAATGAAGGTTGACTCATAGAGATCGATTATAAAAACTAACTGTGCGTATATTTATGTAACTATCTATCCTATTGTGTTGTCAACTCAATTCGAAACGAAGATGAAATTCAATTTAGACATGTAAAGAAGAGTGATGTGATAATTACCTTTATGAATATGTGTCCAACTCTCTCACATACCTTCCAAACGAATGACTGAGCTTTATATGGGTATGTCGAAATGAAAATATATTTCATCGCTCTCTGTCTCTCCCTCTATTCTTTCTCTCTTTTTTCTAATTATACGAACTCTCATTCTCTCTTTCACTCTCTATGTGTGCACAAACAGACACAATACTTCAATTGTAACTAGCTATTCGAGAACGAACAAGTATTGAGAAGACTTTTAAAAGATTTCTTTTACGTCTGAGAAAAGGTTGTCACATTCAAGTACCTTTCTCTTTCTCTATAGTTTTATGTGTAATCAAACAAAGAAAAGAGAGTGGGAAACAAAGAGTAAGGCAAAAAACGCACAAGCGAGAGAGACAGAGAGAGAGAAAGAGAAAGAGATTGATTTTTTTTCTGTCGTGCGGAAAACGCCATAGTGGTACCTCTCAAGTTCTCTCGCTTGTTCTTTGATTGAGCTGAACTATGTAAACAAAGTAAAATAAGAGAGTATGCATGTATGTATGCCGTTGTCAATGACACAAATGAAATCACCCTTGGAGGCATGTTGATTCTTTTATATACATTTGAAATGAAATCATCCATCGTCCAACACATTTATACCATTGAAGTAGGAGAAGGTACTCTAGAAGAATGGAAGGAAGAGAGCGAGAGAGACAGAAAGCTCTTGAACCTGTAGAAATGAATGCTGGAAGATGTTGATTGAAATTATTATGAACAAAAGAATGAGATGAAAATTATTTTGTGTAATCGATTGAAACGAAGCGAAATTAAATTAAGTGATGACTACCTTTTAGTTTATTGTAGACAGTAAAAAAAGAAAAAGATGATTTTAATTTATTCAGCTGAAAAAATGAAACGTTTGAAAAGTTTTTTTAATTAAAAAAACTTGTTTATTTTTATCATTACGAAAAAAAATTTCGAAGGATGATTCCCATTCTAGGAGATATTCATAACAGAAATTTGATAATGCATAAACGATCAATAACAAACATAAATCTTAATTGTATAATAATATTTTTTTTTACGAAACAGAAAATGAATTTTGATTTACATCCTTTTAGATCATTTGTATGAAATTGACTTTTTTAAAAATTCAACGATTTTTTCTATTACGATCTTGTACGAATATTATATACGTATTTCTTTATAATACATAATTTGTTCTGCTTGGCTTTTTCTCTGATAGTTTCAACAATGTCTGAAAAACTTTCAAAAAATCTTTGTACTTGCCAATCATCTGAACCTCGTCATGATAAATTAGTAATTTATCAAATACTTGTTCGATTGTTTGGTAATCGAAAATTAACAAATATTGTTCATGGAACTATTGAACAAAATGGTGTCGGTAAAATGAATGATATTAATGATGCATGTTTAAATGAATTAAAACGATTTGGTTATACACATGTTTGGTATTGTGGACTTCTTGAACATGCAACATTAACTGATTATACAGCATATGGAATTCGTAAAGACAATCCTCATATTGTCAAGTAATAAATGATTTAATTTAGTTTTTTTTTTGTTATGATTTGATGAGTTTGTTTTCTTTTTTATGTAAAGAGGTTTAGCTGGCTCACCATATGCAGTAAAAGATTATTATGATATCGATCCAGATTTAGCTGTTGATATTCCAAATCGTATAAATGAATTTGAACAATTAGTTAAACGTACTCATGCACATGGTCTTCAAGTTATTATGGATTTTATTCCAAATCATGTTGCTAGAGAATATGGTTCTGATGTTCAACCTAATGAAGATTTTGGTATAAATGATGATCGAACAAAATCATTTAGTCCAAGAAATGATTTTTATTATATTGAAAATGAAGAATTTCGACTGCCAAATGTTGAACATATACCTCCATGTATTGATATATCAAAAATACCAAAATATACTGAAAGACCAGCACGTGCAACAGGTAATGATGTATTTCATGCACAACCATTAATTACAGATTGGTTTGAAACTGCTAAATTAAATTATGGAACTGATTATGCTGTCGGTAGAAATTATTTTGATCCACGACCACCACTTTGGGATAAACTTTTTCAAATTTTATGTTATTGGATTGATAAAGGTATTGATGGTTTTCGTTGTGATATGGTAAATTTTAAATCCATCTTTCACAAAAATATTCTGTTTTATTTTTTCATTATTACTAGGCAGAAATGGTTCCGGCTGATTTTTGGTATTGGTTAATAACATCAATACGTAAAGCATATCCTGAACGACGTATTGTTTTTATTGCAGAAATTTATCGACCAGATTTATATCAACGTTATATTGAACATGGTCTTTTTGATTATTTATATGATAAAGTTGGATTATATGATTGTTTACGTTGGTTATTAGAAGAAGGTTCAATATTAGGAAACTGTAATGATATAACACATATTAACAATGAACAAAAACATTTTCATGAACATATGTTAAGATTTTTGGAAAATCATGATGAAGTTAGGTAAGAAAAAGATTTTATTTTCTTTGAATAAGTAGATATTAAATTTTTGTTTGATTTTAGAATTGCTGCAAAACAATTTGCAGGAGACCCATGGAAAGCAATTCCAGCTGCTGTTTGTACAGCTGCTATGCATTCTGGTCCGTTTATGATTTATTTTGGACAAGAAATTGGTGTAAATCCTGTTGGACAGGAAGGTTTTCAAGGAGATGATGGTCGAACAACTATTTTTGATTATTGGGTAATTTAAAAGGAGAGATATTTTTTACGATATGATATATTAGAAGTAGTCTTACATAGAAGTATGTAGATTTTTATAAGCAATTTTTTTTGTTCTGACAGAGACCGAAAAGTCTTACTCAATTTATTCGTTAAATAGAACAAGAAAAAGATGATCTAGTAAACTTTAGAGTATAGTGTTTGAATAATATGTACATATTTTTTCGAATATTGTCAACGAACAATCATTTATTATGTGTTACTAATTATGTAGTCATATAAAAACTTTGAACGTTCTTCAAGATTTTTACAAGATATTCTATTTTTCTTAGGGCATTCCTGAATTTCAAGCTTGGTATAATAATGGTGCATGTGATGGTGGTCAATTAACAGTTTCACAAAAAGCTCTTCGTTCATTCTATGAAAATCTTATAAAACTTATTCATGATCATAAAGCTTTACATTGTATTTCATCAAAATTAATTGATTTACAATTTGCTAATCATTCATTATATGATACAAAAAAAGTTTATTCTTTTATTCGATACCATGAACATGATGAACAATTATTATTTATATTAAATTTTGATTATAAAAATAGTCATGATATTGAATTAGCAATACCTAATGAAATTTGGTCATGCATTGGATTAGATATAAATAGAGTATATACACTTCAAGAAGTTTTTATTGATGGCAAACTCAAATTAGAACT